TTTCCGACTTATAGGCTGGGGCATTGGGAATTGGAGTTTAGTAAAAAAACACATTTGGATAACTGAACTGTAGATCGGTTCTCCAGCTTGAGCCAACCCGAATCAGAGAGGCACTATGAAATAATGTCGTACTTTCTGAGATTGTAACTAAAACGAATAAAAGCATTCTGAAGCTGTCGGAGTCTCTTTTTATCTCGATTATTAAGTATAGCTGGCCAATAGAGGGTACTGCAATAAGCGGCATGCGATAAAACTCACATATCACAGAGTTTAAGTTAACTGAGTATCATAGGCGTATTGATGAGATTTACAAAATTTAAGAAAAGTAGAGACGTCAGCTGTATAAACTGAGAACAGAATGGGTGCCAGAATACTCCCCTGGGGAACACCCCTCACCAAAGCAATGACACCTGAATGAGTATTCCCTACAGCTACCCTTTGGTGTCTCTGACCAAGAAAATTTTTTAAAAATGAAAGAGCAGTAAAGTCTGTTCATAGATATAAGAAAGTGACTAACTGATACGATACGACGATACATCCTTCACTACATCTGCTCAGAGTATCGAGGAGTTGTCCGTTAGGGTTGGCATGTTGGAGGACAGGGCTAATGTCTGGTTCGAAAATAATTATCTTGAATTAAATTTAGACAAGACCCAGTGTATTGTGTTTTCCTCCAATTGCTTGGTAAATAGTGGACAGTCCGTCAAGTTGCTTTAGGATCGATGATAGTCTAAATTGGAAACAACATATCTCGGACCTTAAAAATAGATTATCCAGCAACATATTCGTTCTTCGACGACTGAGAGGCCTGATAGGAACAAGGACTCTGTTTATGGTCTATTTTTCTTTGTTGCATTTACCCTTATGCTATGGCACGGCACTATGGGGTGATTCAACAGCTGCTGTGGAGATTTTTAGAATGCAGAAAAGGGCCATTCGAATCGTTGCTAATATAGGATATAGGGACCATTGTCAACCTTATTTTAAAAAATTAAAAGTGATGCCCCTTCCTTGCATCTATATCTACTACCAGTTATTAGAGATACAGAGAACGAAAGGAAACTTTAGCGCTAATTCCGATTGCCATGCCTATTCAATTCGTTTGGGGGATCTCCTTAGACGGCCTAGGTTTAGACTGAGGAAGTCTGAGAACAACTCATTGAACCTGAAATTGTATAATGTTTTGCCAGGTACCGTGAAAAAGATGAGCAATAGAAAATTTAAACATACTATTAAAGAATTCCTACAACGTCATTATTTTTACTCCCTGCGAGCTTACATTGACACTGTCACTGGTATCGATGCGCTATAAAACTGTATACTACTGTCTAATTTTGTTTGTATTAGATGTGTGTTTTTATGTTATTTCTTAATTTGATTTTATTGCACTTGAATATCACTTCTGACTTGCTACAATTGTACGTCCCTTTTGTACGAAACGTAGTCAATAAATGAATCTATCTATCTATCTACGAATTAAGGAAAGACTCGAGCAAGCTGTAAGAATGAAATATGGCCGAACAGGTCCGTACTTTGCTTAGAATTTAATTATTTGGGGTTTTGTTAGCAAAGATATTAAACAATATTTATTTTTATTTATGTATTTATTAATGTTTAAATCTAAAATAATATTACAAATTATTTTTATTACCTACTTAAATTTCAGAATCGCTTCTTTTTTTCCTCGCTGAAATGTCATTATTCACAATTTTCCATACAGCTGATGTTGGAATTTTCGTCAATGTAACCGTTTCTTCTAAAGATGCTTACTTGCTGGCACCACGTTCAATGAGAGTCAAAATTTTTTATAACTTCCTTAGTTTCATTAGAATAGTGTTTCCTACATTTGGGCGCGAGTATCTCCTGAGGTACACTAGACTCACACATATTTTGCATAATTCGCCCACGATTCAACAAACTTAAACTAGGTAGTATACCAAACCAAAGAATATTAAACACAGGTAGGTATAAAATTATTTTCTATTACGGACCACAATTTTACCTGAATTTAAATTAAAAATTTAATAATCTTGTAGATGTTTATGTTACTGACCACCCTCGGAAAATTGGCCACTTTCTTATATCTATGAACAGACTATTCCTTTTATCCAGAATAATTTCAGTTTAGTTAGGAGAAGGAAATGTTCGAAGGTAATATAATTTTGAAGCTTCTTGGGCATTTTCATTGAATTGTATAAAATATGCCGACAGATAATATTTTTCAGAATTTTCATACACTGCTGTTATAACAGACGGAGCGTTTTTTGGTTTGGTCAGGGCCACTTCTTTAAAATAATAAATTAGAACAAAAATTTTACTCTAACAACTAAAATTAAAAACACGTGGCAAGGTGTTATACATATTCGGAAAGCCCATGGCGCATATTATGGAATACGCTGCTTTTTTTCGTTTTTGCTTGTTCCTCTATCTTCTCAGCCGACATAATTATTATTATTATTATTCAGTAAATTCTTCTGCTGCATCATATTTGTTGCTGGTTAATCATTCTTTTAACTATACAGGGTGTCCAAAAAGTGTGTCAAACTAAGATAACTCACTTATTATTTATTTTTGAAAAAAAAAGTTAAATATAAAAGAAACAATTTTGAATTATTTTCAAATTTACAGGGAAATTCGTAATTATTTTGAAAACCAAATTTTTATTTTATAGAACGTGCTGTATATTATTGCATCAGTAGATACCCATTGCGGGGTTGTTATGGTCTATAACGTGTGTTTTCCAAAAATTGTAATTGTATTATGCCAAAAAATTTATAAAGTGGTACGGTTATTTATCCTAAACTTTTCTTGAAGTTACTCCAAATCGTTTAAATAGGTTGAGTCAAAATGAAAAACGTTAATTTTCGTAAAAAAAAAACAAATGGAATATGTATATTATACTTCCATTAATTACTTCTTTCAATTCTATTAAGCATTCCCTATAACTGAAGTTCGTATCTTTTGAAGTATACACATTTTTACAAAGGAAACCCCGAAAATTTGTCAAATTATGAGAAAATATTGCAATAAGCACAGAAAAATAAAAATAAATTTACGATTTCGGCCTTTTGACTATAGCCCAAATTATTATTGTTATTATTATTATTATTTTAGTGCAAAAATAAGTTGGCCATGAAAATCCAAGTGTGCCATGCAAACAAACTTATATTTGACATGCAAATAAATAGTTATTTGAAACCTGGGGAAAACATTGTTGCGACGAATGGCAGATTTCAGTTGGTCTCAAACATGGTCAATGGGCTTAAATATACAGTGGTAAGGTGGAAGCCTTAAAACTGTATGCCCTAGATTTTTTGCATAATTATCACAGACGTATTCCTTTTATAGGTTCAAGCTTCGTAGAACCTCAATTAATTGCTCTTGTGTCACACGAGGAAGAGGTTTTAGTCAACTGTCTAGTGTAATAACTTGCATTGACCATTACAATGACGCTATTAGGAGGAATGTTTGGAACTAGTTTGTTTCTAAACCAACTTTCAAATAAATCAGCGGTGGTGTCTTCATGGTAATCCAGAGAACAATATTTCATTAAAGCGCGTTTGTTTTACACTTATCGGTTGAGTCAACCCAACCCTTTTCCGGGGTGTCATAAGTGTCGAACCCGGTTTCATCCAAGTAAATAATTGGCCTTTGTTGTTCTCTGTAAATCCTAATTTTTTCTAGATATTCCAGTCGCCATTTCCGAATTCTAGCACATTCCATTAAAACTTGCATTTTGTCAATTTTTTTAAATCTAAAACCCATGTGTTGAATACATTTCCATAAGGTAGTTCTGCCACATTTTACACCGGTTTCATTTTTTTCAAGCCTGCTAGTTAAGATATCTAATGTAGGCACGCTTTGTTCCTCGTATAACTGGTAAATTTTACGCCGTATTATATCTTGATCACTTTCATCTACACTCGAGAAAATGTCAGCATCGCTTCTTGTTTTCCTCGCTGAAATGGGATTATTCACAATTGTCCAATTATTCTCTATTACGGACCACAATTTTACCTGAATTTAGATTCCGAAACATTAGGTAATAATCCTGTTGCATTGTATGTTAATGACCACCCTTGGATAATCCCATTCAAAAGCAATTGGTCACTTTCTTATATCTATGAACAGAACATATCTTTAAGTAATGGGCGCTGTTCTTTTCTAAAATTTTGTTGCAATTTCATTTTTTTCATACTTGTTATCCTGATAACTACTTGGCTAACTTTTACTTTTTGATTCACGCGTATGCTGGGTAGCTGGTTAATTTTTTACATAATCCAAAGTGTTTTAGTTGACAACCATATAAGATATTGATAAATCATATTGCTTATTAAATAAAATTAAAAACCATCAATAATTTTAGCTGTGACAACAATTGGGCACACGTTTTTATTAAACTGCAATGATTTAGTTAAAATAATTGAGAACCTTTAAACAAACACATTCATGATAGGTTTGGCTCTTTGATTAATTAAAATGCAACTGAACCTTTTAAGATCAATCACTGTACATATTAACCGAGGAAAATTCTTTCTCCACGCTCCTCCCTCCCGCGCTGCCCCGAAGGAGCCCCGAACGCCCCAATACGATTTGGACAAATGAACATTTGGACGAATACGGCCATCTCACAATTTGCTACCATCTCCACCGCACGTATTTGAGGGCATTCGGACGTTTTCGGAGATTTGACCGCACGGCTCGAATTTTGACGCTTGTCAATTCTGACAAACGTTTGTGTTTTGCAAAAATTTATTGGGAGACTCTGTATAAAATAACCGCACGGAGAAGGAAAATGCCGTTTCGTGGTTTCAAATTCCAAGCGAATGGTTTCGCTCGTTACTAATAAATCGATAATCGTTTGGACACTTACTAGCGGTACATAATAATTAACAATGTAGACAAAAAATTAATAATTACGTGAATTCGACGAAAGGAAAAATCGTTAAACGGCGCAAAACGAGTCCGCCCGTGTCAAAACCAGTTCCATCTTGGGTCGAATTTGTTTGTTTCTAGATTTAATTAAAACCAGTTTCGGGCTAAAGCCCTACGTAGCGAGCCATAAGCGACCAGACGTTCGACCACGGTATATAAAAGGTCGGGCGATTTTTCGGCATTCATATTTCGCCGTGCTTGACACACGACTACTTGATTTTCACGCAAAGAAGTCGACATGAATTCCGTAATCGTTTTGTTCGCGACGGTGTGCTTGGCGCTGGTATGCGGCCAAAAATACACGGAAAAATACGACAACGTCGATTTGGATGCGATCATCCGCAACGACAGACTTTTGCAAAACTACGTCAACTGTTTGCTGGACAAAGGCAAATGCACAACTGACGGAGCCGAATTGAAAAGTGAGTATATACAAGGCTTGTTTTAAATTTAGGTGAATATTATTGAGCCTACTTTATATAGGCGTGTGTTTTAGACAGGGAGTGTAAAGGTCACTTTTTTTATCGACATCTAAAGTGGTCACATCTTTTACCCATCAAATTGGGACTCAGTGGCACCCGTAAGGGGCTTAAAATGAATAATTTTCTATAAAAATAAACTTCAGCAGTACATAATTGGGTATCTGAGAGTAGGGAGTAGAAAAAATTATAAAAAAAATATCTGAATTAAGCTGAATACCAAAAATTTGCTAAATATCTCCCTTTTTCGACTTTCCTTCCCTTGGAATTATTTTCTTGAAGAATCAAGAAGAAGAAGAAGAAAAAGTATGTAAAGATAATATTATATACAACACATAACTTATTAGTTAGTTAGTAGTACTTTAGTAAAAGCCATTTTTTAAATTTTGGACCATTTAGCATTCTGCAACTGTTATATTTAATATTTGTTAAAATACCCCCACGCAGGCCAGTAAATACAATTGTAATTACTAAAGATGACTCAGAATCACTTTCTAATGGAACGCTTCCTTAAAAGTGTAGAGGTTGAAGACGTTCATTTACAATTATGAGACTGCCTTTTTGGGGGTCTTTTAATACTTTTGCCCCTTATCCTCTTCGACATAATACTGTTTATGGATTTAAAAAAAATCATGTATAATTAAGTAGGCAACATACGAGAACCTTTTTTATTAATTGTTGCTTACGATAAACATTTACAATAAAAATTATGCACTTTGACTTAAATATTTTTAAATTTATTTATTGAAATATACCTAAACGAAATTTTGCCATATTTTGAATAGTTCCAAAAAAAAAGTTTCGTAATAATTACCGTCTTTAAAAAAAATGCTCGGAGGGTTATGCTTTGGTATATGTGTATAACTTTTAATTCTTCGCGAACTTTCCTAGTAGTATTTTGAAATTAGAGCACTTTTTATATTTTAAAAATTGAAGTGAGGTGGCTTTTACTTGATGAAAATCCATTTTTCAAAATGAATAAGAACTAAAAGTTCAGATTTTCACGAAATTATATATTATGACATGACAATTGTTTCGACAACACCGTGTCTTTATCAAATGTAATGTGTTGTCGTGTCATGTCATAATATACAATTTCGTGAAAATCTGAACTTTTAGTTCTTATTTATTTTTATATTTTACAACAATTTGACTTGTATCAACAATAATTGTATTTCAGTACAGCAATTAATATAAGAAATGTCTAAACTATCATTAAAAAAAACTATATAGTTGTACCCTGTTTCCTGCTACTACTAAGAATATTATCATAACCTAGAACACGAAAATGAGGTTTCTCTTTTCTTTATTTTCTTTACATGCTGTTTTTAAATGAATAAAAAAAGCGCTTTTCATGAGCCAATTTTATATAGGCGTATGTTTTAGACAGGGAGGGTAAAGGTTAAGGTTGAGGTAAAATTCGGAGTAAATTTTGCTGTCACTTGATCATTGCATAATTGGGCATCTAAGAGTGGGCAGTAGAAAAAAATAGGTTTTAAATATTTTTTAATAACAAAAATTGTTAAACAATTTTTATCTCAATTTTTTAGCTTTCCTTTTTTTCTAATTCCGAACACCCCTTATATTTAAAAAAAATGTTTCTATGAAATCTGCCAGTAATATAATGTAGAACACATTACTTATTAGTTAATTAGTCATACCTTTGTAATAACTGAGTAAACATAGAAGTATTCTGCAATTGGATACTCCCAAAATGGTTTCTGAGTTCAATATTTTCTTTGCAAACTAAAAATACTTAATATTTCTTAAAATGCTGCCACGCAGTCCCGCAAATAGAGTTGTAATTACTTTAGATGACTCGGAATTACTTTCTAATGGAACAATTCTTTAAAAGTGTAGACGTTGGGGGATCTTTTAATACTTTAGTTGCTTATCTTCTTCGACATAATATTAGTTATGGATTTTAAAAAAATCTGCATAAATTAAATGAAGACCAGATTGTGATGCATACTTTTTGAATTATTACAAATTTTTTATTTTGTTATGAGAATTTTTTACGAAATTTTAAATTTTGGGTTTAATATTGTTGCAACAAATAGTGTGTGACGGCCTAAAATATTTAAATTTTAAGTGTTCTTTTCAACACGTTTAGGTTTCATACAAAAAAATGATTACCAAATCAAAAAAAATGCTTGTAGGGTCATGTTTTGGTATACGGGTATAACTTTTAATTCTAAACGACTTTGCGTAATAGAATTTTGAGATCAGAGCACTTTACTCTTTTGTATTTTACAATCTAACATATTTACGATTTGACTTGGTTCAACAATTGTATCCTGCCATTTTTTTTTTCGTTAAAATAATTGCTACTAAAATAATTAAATATGTTAGCTACTCCTGCTACTAGTAAGAACGATGCAAATACACGTCCGATCAAAACCTAAAACACGACATCAAAGGCAGTGGCCTTCTATATAGCACTGTCAAATTTGTTTGCACGTATATGTTTAAAATGCCCAATTTTCGACATAAAAACAATATCTGCAAATGTCATTCTCAAAATCTCATTTTAAGTTATTTTTTAATGATAAGATGGGTCATGTGATGTGATAAGGTCTTTTCACAATCTATTCGCATTTTGACAATAATAAAACCTGTCAATAAACTCGTTCCTAATATTATGCAAGATCCAACTGATACAAAGTATTTAACTTCCTAAAAAAATAACGAACTTAGAACTACCGATAGAACGCCGATTAAATACTAAATAGAAACGAATACGAAAAAATATGTTTTGGTTAGTTTGACTCACTGACAAAATAGCTAATTATTATTATTATTTGTATTAAATTAAGTCGTAATTAAAAATATATTTATTTAACTTTTGTCTCGCAAAAGCTGGCTAATCAAAAGGGTACGCGAATAGAACATGAAAATACCTTTAACATGACCCATCTTACCATAAAAAAAATCTTAAAATGTCAAATTTGACATTTGAAGACATTGTTTTTATTTCAAAAATTAGATATTTTAATTCTACACATATACATCTTGTACGCCTCAAAGAGTGCTGCAGTGACACCCGTAAGGCGTTTTCAATCGATAATTTTGAACGGAAATAGCTACCACCGTTTCCTATAAAAACAAACATTATTGCTGTCACTTGATCAGTACATAATTAGGTATCTGAGAGTCGGGAGTGGAAAAAATATCTTTTAACAATTTTTTAATAGAGATTTAATGTATAAATGTATATTCTATAATGTACAAATTAAATGAATTAAACGAAACTGTGTGGTGTCTGTGGTCACCTAAGTATGCAACTAACGAGAACCTTTTTTATTAATTGCTATAAATATTTATAATAAAAATTGTACGTTTTGAGTTAGATGTTTTTCATTAATACAGATATTATACTTTGTTACGGGAGAGTTTTATAAAAATATAAATAAAACTTTATATAGGCATGTGTTCTCAAGCGGTCCTATCTTTTACGCATGTGCCGCAGTGGCAGTGGCATCCGTGAGGCGTTTTGAATGCATTATTTGGAAAGGAAAACCAAAAATACCAAAACTTGTTAAACCTTTTTTTGTTTCCCTTTTTTGAACTTTGTTATTATGTAGAACACATTACTTATTAGTTAATTAGTTGTACTTTTGTAAAAACGGCTATTTCTTTAATTTTTTTAAGCACATAAGTATTCTGCAACTGGCCACTCCTTAAATGGTTTCTGAGTTCAACAGTTATCTTTGCAAACAAAAAATAGTTAATATTTGTTAAAATGCCGCCACGCGGCCCCGTAGATAGAGTTGTAAATACTTAAGATGACTCAGAATCACATTTTAATGGACAGCTTCTTTAAAAGTGCAGAGGTTGAACAGGTTTTGTGACTGCCCTTTTTTACATCTTTTAATACTTCAGTTGCTTGTCTTCTTCGACATAATATTATTCATGAATTTAAAAAAAAATCCTGTGTAATTTAAGTGAAGACTAGACTGTGTGGTGTCTGTGGCCACCTAAGTGTGCGACATACGAGAACCTTTTTTATTAATTTTTGCTCACGAGAAACATTTACAATAGAAATTGTGCGCTTTGAATTAGATATTTTTTAATTATTACTGATTTTTTACTTTGAAAAATTTTGAATTTTGTGTTTAATATCGTTGAAACAAATAGTTTGTGGTGGCCTAAAATATTTAAATTTTAGGTGATTTTTTCAAATATAGATAAAAAAAAGTTTCCCAATGATTTTTTTTAAACATAAAAAAAGTGCTGGGAAGGTCATGCTTTGGCATATTTGAATAATCTTTAATTCTAAAGGGCTGTTTATAACAGTATTTTGAAATTACAGTACTTTACTCTTATTAAATTTTTATATTTTACCCTACAATCTGACTTGGACTCACAATAATTGTATTTTAGTGCAGCATTAATAAAAGAAAATTCTATAAATTGAACTGAGTTGACTTTTATTTGATGAAAATCCATTTAACATAATAAATAAACACTGAATGTTCAGTTTTTCACGAAATTATATATTTTCACATGACAATTGTTTCGACAAAATGTAATATTTGCAAACTACCTGCTACTATATATACCGAAAAATGACAATAAAACCTTAACTAAAGTTGTTGTGAGGATTTAAGTTTAATGATGGAGAAGTATTTAAATCTCATTGAACGTTAAGAAATACATTTGAATATCGCATTTTGTTGCTGCAATTTTTTGTTAACGCTGTTTTTTTGTTATTTTTTTCGATGGCAAGTTTAAAAGAACAACGTGCAGCTGTGAAATTTTGTTTTCTGCTCGGTAAAAGTGCTGCTGAAACTGTTTCAATGTTAAAAACAGCTTATAAAGACGATGCGATGGGAAAAACTCAAGTGTACCAGTGGTTTGACGAGTCAATTGATGACCGACCTCGTTCTGGACGTCCATCAATTGCTCGAATCGACGAAAATATTAAAAAGATTCGAGAGTTT